TCTGCTAGATTCATTTTGTACATTATTGGAGGTGTGAGATCATGATTTGACCTTAGCCTATTAATAGTTTTAATAAAACTTCTTTTGGACCCTGAATAGAACCACCTTTTTTTAAGAACTGTGGGTTGCCAATATTTAAATGATGACTGTCTTTCGGATTCCGTATAATTGGGTTGCCATTTTATTTTGAGCCGATGTTTACTATTTACATCTATATTGGACAACGGTAGAATATTGTTGTCTATGGTTTCTCCGATTGATAATGCTGCTTTTGCCAAAGCATCTGCTATTATATTACCCTTTATCCCAGAATGGCCTTTGATTCATGAGCTAATAACTTCTCCTCCGAGCCTTGAAATCTCGTAGTACAATTTTAATATCTCTATATCAAGATGAGTCAATTGCTTGGATTTATTTGTTACACATAATCTTTCTACTGCACTTTTACTGTCTGTCAATATTACACAGTTCTTCATTTCCTTCGTCAAAGCGTGAGAAAGAGCAAACTTTAAACCCAGCATTTCGGAAGTGTAGATGGAGGCTTCATCAGGTAACTTATATTTATGCTGTTGTCCAGTATACTGTTGGTATACTGCGCAAGCAGTGTTACTTCCTTTTTTTGAACCATCAGTAAACATATAATAATAATTGGACCATCTCTTCTGAAGTTCTGCGTTGAACATGGGGCCTTGGACATCATTCCTTCTTGATTTTTATTGAGAACAGCACATGAGACTTTTCAGTATAAACTGGTGAAATATGACCCTTATAAAGTACCTCTTTGAATGTAGACAGATTTTTGTTGCTTTCCGCCACGATTGGAGATTTTTTCTTAAACCAATACCTTTTAGTCAAATCTAAAACAGCCAGATTGTGTATATCTTTGAGAAATACTTGTCTACTCTGCTAATGGTACGAGCTTTATATTTGTCGGTAAGATACTGCCTCCGTAAATTCAACGGCGGTTCAACAGCTTCAATTTCCATTACATTCATTGGTGTAGATTTCAGATACCCAAGGCATAAGCGTAGGCAACTTATTTTTCTGTACCTCAATTTTTCTTAAATGGGTGTTCGATGCGTTTCCATATAAGTGACAGCTATAATCGAAAACTGGTCGTATCATAGATCGATAAAACATTAAACTAATGTTGGGATCTGCACCCCAGTTTGTTTTACAGAAAGCTCTTAGGATATTCATAGCTTTTTCGGTTTTTTTAATGATTTGTTGAATTTGATCTTTCCACAAAAGTTTTCTGTCTAAATAAGTTCCCAGGTATCTGACAGAGTTTTTAATTGGAAATTTGAATTGATCACAATTTATATACCCTTTTGGAAATCTATGTTTTCTAGAAAAGAAGTAATTTGATATTAAACAACGTAAAATATGTGGGGGTTTCAGTGATTATAAAAATATGACTGCTTAACGTTAGATTTTTTGAATAAACCCAATGTTCGTTTTGTTTTTTATTTGTGGCCCTTTTGTATTAAACTAGCGATTTGTACACCTAACGAGAAATGGCCGTTGGGTATACAAAATGTCAAAACTGACCATAATTTGATATTTTGATTTTTAAAATGTTTTATAATTTTTTGTACAGGAAAAGTAAAAATGATCTTACTAACGAATGCGATAAGGCATTTAAAAAGCTTAAAAAATGTACACCAACAAAATCTGCTGCTGAATAGAAATTTGATTGAAAATATTATGAAATTGTAAAGAGAGTAGTAAAAACAGCAATTTTATTAAAAATATGAAGCTTCGCGCAGGTCTACTAAACCTTTTTTTTATTGTGTTTTTCGCCAATTAAGGTATTGTTCTGAAGCTATTTTCTTGTGGCATTGTAAATTAATTACTATTAAACTGGGAATAAGCCACAATTAAAGATAAAAATACGTTTATTGACGTTTCAATTTCCACTTCGGGAATCGTTCTCAAAATACAAACAGTAAATTAAACAAATTTTGTTTTTTGTTACATAGTGAAAAATTCTTCTGCTAATTTAATTTTATCTGACTTATTTATATTGACAATTCAGACATACATTATGCATTTTAAAGTAGACGACTTAAAAATGATATTGCCAATATTGTTGAGTTGCGCTCCTGGGACGACTTTACTTATAAGATAGTTCATTCGATTACATGAAATCAACTTTAACTTGAGAAAACCAGGAAAAATACCTCATAATACTAACCCGACATTGTCAGTATTTGTTCGTGAATTTAGTTTACCTTCAACAAACATCAAAATTCTGATTTTATATGTTACGTTATTTAAAAAACATAAATGATGTATCCTCTATATATTACTGACTTACTAATACTGGTATTTTCTTATTAATAACTTCCTCTTTCAATATTGGTAACCATATCCTACTACATTCTGCCGAGGAATTTGCGACACAATTGGCCTCATTTAGCATAATTAGAGCCGCTTCTTTGATTTTTCTTTTTTTACCATCCGTTTCTTTTAGGGCTACATTTGAATTATTCCATTGAACCCTATGTTCATTATCCCATGCGTGTTTACAGATTTGAGACCTATCTAATTCTTTATTTTTAATATAAGATTGATGTTCACTTATTCTAACATTTAATGGCCTTGATGATTCACCTAACTAAAACTGATCGCATTCACAAGGTATTTTATAAATGCAATTCTTTGTCCTTTCTTGTTCATTGTTAGGTTTGGTTTTGGACAAAATAGAACTCAACGTGTTTATTGTTTTTAATGTTGTTGAAATGTTGAATTTATTTCCTATCCTTTTAAGTTTTTCTGATAGTCCTTTTATGTACGGTATTGTTATTTTCCTCATATTATTCCTTGTGTATGCTGTAGGATCTCGTTCTAAGTTGTTCTGTTCTAATCGATCGATTGTTGAAAATTCCTTATTTATAAACGATAAAGGATAATCATTTTTTAATAAAACAGATGTTAACAAATGTTTCTCCTCCAAGAACGAATTTTCATTAGAACAAGTAATTTTGGCTCTATCGTATAAGGATTTAATTATTCCCTTTTTTACATTAATATTGTGATTTGATTTGAAATTTAAATATCTATTGGTGTGTGTTGGTTTTCTATACGCCTGAGTCTCATATCCAGTATCGTTCTTAGAGATTAAAACATCCAGGAAAGGTAGCGTGTTATTATATTCCTTTTCCATGGTAAATGTTATTGTCTCTTCTTTATCGTTTATATCATTTAGGAATGTGTCCAACAACTCTGATCCATGAGGCCATATTGAGAATACATCATCTACATACCTCCACCATACTGTGGGTTTGAAATTTTGTTTAGAAATGATATTTGTTTCAAAATCTTCCATAAATATAAAATAAAATAAAATTGTAAATTGTTGGTAACATATAAAATCAGAATTTTGATGTTTTTTGAAGGTAAACTAAATTCACGAACAAATTCTTACAATGTCGGGATAGTATTATGAGGTTTTTTTCCTGATTTTCCCTCATAATTTACTATGGAATCACTAACAGGAGAATTTTACTGTCATCATGTCTTGTGTTTGTCTTTTTAAAGACGAATTACATGCTATGATTTTTTTCTGACGGATATTCTCAAGTTAAAGTTGATTTCATGTAATCGAATGAACTATCTTATAAGTAAAGTCGTCCCAGGAGCGCAACTCAAAAATATTGGCAATATCATTTTAAAGTAGTCTACTTTAAAATGCATAATGTATGTCTGAATTGTCAATATAAATGAGTCAGATAAAATTAAATTAGCAGAAGAATTTTACACTATGTAACAAAAAACAAAATTTGTTTAATTTACTGTTTGTATTTTGAGAACGATTTCCGAAGTGGAAATTGAAACGTCAATAAACGTATTTTTATCTTTAATTGTGGCTTATTCCCAGTTTAATAGTAATTAATTAAGGTATTGTTATAAAAGTAACATAGCTAAAATCTGACGTATGCTGCAAGCTACACGAAGATATAGAGCGTTAACTACATTTTTCCTTTATTCCAAACTTGGAACGACACCAACAAACTAATCCTCCAATCATTTCAAATAAAAGAAACCTCAGTAAAATTATTTTTATTGACAGAATAACTTAAGGCGATTTTTTTTGGCAACTGCTAAGTAAAAACTATTAAATTAGGCTACCACTGAGACAAAATTAAACCCCCTATTAATGTGCCAACTGACCCCTATCCCAATTTAAAATTGTAAGGGTAACATTTATCTTGGCTAGGTGGTCGCACTTTGAAGGCGAAAAATATTCACTGCATGTCTCTCACTTGAAAACAAAATTCACCGGTGTTTCCAATATTTCATATTAAGTTTTTACAAGAATTATGATATTAATAGTCGGAAGTTTTCAAATTGAAGATATACATAAAATACGGATACTAAAATGATTGAGGAAAATCGAAAACCATAGAATAAAAATGGTGCGAAATGAAAAATAGTAGAATCAAACGTAAATGGAGATATCAGCACATTTATACACTCACTTGCTTTACCACAATACGATTTAACTTTTATTCAGCATAAAACTAAAGATAATATATTGCAACTTCATAATATATCCTATTTAAGTTTGTATTTACTAATAAATTTTGCTTCAAGATGATAGTTTGAGATTAAAGATGTATAGAAATTTATGGTAAGTCTCCCACAAATTATCGTGAACATATAATAATAGTTAAATAAGTGAATAGTTGTTGTTATAATATACATTTATTTCATATTTGATAGATATTTTTATAACTAAACCAAACAAAACAACAAAGATGTCATGTGAAACAGAAGAAATAAAAATGTAAATTGTTATATTGTATATACCTAACAATATATCTATTACTGCATTTTCAAAATGTGATAGACATCGGCATTGTCATTTGCATTTAAAAAATTTAAATAAAACAAAAACACACGAACATGCACTTTAATCGATCTTGTCAGATTCTATTTTCTCGAGTACTTATGACATCAAAAACATAAACAAGATAAATTCAAAGTGTCCTTACCTCAGTTTTTGTAATTCTGTGCTTGGCAAGTTTCACAACAGCGAAATTTCCCTTCCCGATAGTCCTCTCGATATCATAGAAACCAACCCTAATGGTATTCTTTCCTATCCTCTCTCGCTCGCCCATTTTATGTGATCTTATGACTAAAAGTCCACCCGAAAATATGAATAGAAATGATATCTACGAACTAACCGGTAATATTGTTGCTAAATTCGGTGTTAGTATTGTCATTATTAGGAGAGGTAGAAGTCCGGCGCGGAACTGAAGACACTACCGATACGGAGCGCTGGATGCGACTGTCAGCTCAGCTGTTTCGCTATTCGAGGTTCCGATATGGCAGGAGCTTGCTCAGATTCGTCGTGCGCTAGATATGCTAGAGATGTGCTTGGAAATTTCGGAACATGAGATAAAGAACGAGAACTGAATTGAACCATTGTTTAATTTTTTTAATGTATCTCCAAACGAAAAATCATCCAGCAATGTACATTAAATATTTGGTAATTTTATGGGAGATGTGGGATCGAAGATGTGCAGAGGTATATAGGTATATGGGTGGAACAAGAGTTGGGCAAGCTTGGAAGGTGATAAAGTCTTTCCGGAGGGAAGGAGAGGAAAAATCTAACTTACAGTTAATAGATCTGAAACAGTGGAAACACCATTATGAGGTCTTACTGACAGATGATAGATGTAAATTCCAAGAGATCGAAATGGAAGAAATATCCGAACACACACAAATAATTGAGATAACAACCGGAGAGTTAAACGATGCCCTTAAAAGATCGAAAAGCGGTAAAGCAGCAGAACCTGGAGACATCCCAATTGAGTTGGTAAAGTATGGACCAAAAATATTACATGAGATTTTGGTTCAACTATTTAATAAATAGGTAAAGAAATAATAAATAAGACTTACTGACAATCAATTTAATTTAACTATCAGACGACCGGTTTCGCTTTCTACAATATGCAAAGCATCCTCAGGTCTCGATACAAAGTTAAACAAATGCTGAAATAATAAAAACCCATATTAGGGTGTTGTCTAATAACGATAAACAAAGTAGATGTTGTAAATTACAATAATTATGCCAATATTACATGTCTGTGGTTTTATTTAAATGAGTAAGTTGAATAAAAGGTATAAAAGTTTTAAAAGTTTAAACAGACAAGGTAAGGCCCACAAATTGTTATAAAATAGTCTCTTCGATTGTAATAAATTAATGTTAATAATAAATGAAATGAGCAAATAAATAAAATAAACATTACTTAGGTATATGCCGGTACTCTATTAATTGATGGATGGTAGAACATGGTTGAAACTACTATGTATTGTTGAATGGAGAACTCAATTCTATTATTGCAGTTGTTTGACAGTAAACGGGAAGTTCTTGAGGAGATAGACTTGATCCAATGAAGAAGAGATATATGTGTGATTGTGTGTTAAAAGAAAGTGATGTAATATACCATTGTGTTATTAAAAGCTATTTATACTTATTCGAGAGATATATTTTTGAAATGTGTGTTATTTATTGAGTAATTGTTTTATGAAGGTGACAGTTTTATGACAATGAATAAGTTTAGATGTAAAAATTGTGTGGGTGTGCAATTATTTTCCAACTTGTAGTTATCAAATTACTTTGATAAAGTTCTATTGGCAATTAGTGAATTATTGGAAAGTCAAGTAAATAAAATATTAAAATACAAACAATTAAGGACAATTTAAACACACTAAAACAGAAAACACTTGGAAGGGACGAAACAAACATTGAATTTAAAAGGGGGGAAGGGCTTTAATGCACTACATCGCAGTCTTGGGCACAATGAGTTTTTTATGTTTTATCTATTAGATTTTAGTGGTAAATTTGACAGATGTAGGTTAGCATGTGACAGTTCTTCTTCTGTTTCTCAATACTGTAAGTTAAGTTATCTAGTTTTATGAAATATGCTGTTATTAATGAATGTCTATAAATTGTTTCAATTTAGATATCAAAAGTAAATTGATGTGTTTAATATTGGCATACTTTAACAATCTTTAATTAATCAAATTTAATGTAACAATATGGATAATTGAAATACATTCTACAATATAACTAACTCAGTCTAATGTCTAAATTACTGAACAAATTAAAGTAACTCCTTGGCAACTGAACATGTACATTTTATAATCAAATGTATAATAAGTTTACAAAGTTTTTTATTTTTATTTGAAATTGTAAGTGTGAGTTATCTGTCAGGGTATTTTTTAATTATTTGAGATATTTATTTCAAATTCTGATATATTAATATCTAATATACTAATATGTAACTAAAGTAACAAATGGATAATTATTGATGGTAATTAATTTATGGGCTCAAGACTGAATTATTAAGCCTTCAATAATTAGTTGGTAGTTCTAATATCTGACAGTTGGAACCGGAAATTGTTATACGAACAGGTAGAATGATCCTCTATTTAAACCGGTATAAGGTAAATTTATTCTTATTTCAATTTTCGGTGTCATATGAACATATATTCCTCACACCTATATGGACAATGGTGAGTTTGTTTCGTCCCTTCTAAGTGTTTTCTGTATAAGTGTGTTTAAATTGTCCTTAATTGTTTGTATTTTAATATTTTATCTACTTGACTTTCCAATAATTCACTAATTGCCAATAGAACTTTATCAAAGTAATTTGATAACTACAAGTTGGAAAATAATTGCACACCCACACAATTTTTACATCTAAACTTATTCATTGTCATAAAACTGTCACCTTCATAAAACAATTACTCAATAAATAACACACATTTCAAAAATATATCTCTCGAATAAGTATAAATAGCTTTTAATAACAAAATGGTATATTACATCACTTTCTTTTAACAAACAATCACACACATATCTCTTCTTCATTGGATCAAATATATCTCCTCAAGAACTTCCCGTTTACTGTCAAACAACTGCAATAATAAAATTGAGTTCTCCATTCAACAATACATAGTAGTTTCAACCATGTTCTACCATCCATCAATTAATAGAGTACCGGCATGTAAGTAATGTATATTTTATTTATTTGCTCATTTCATTTATTATTAACATTAATTTATTACAATCGAAAAGACTATTTTATAACAATTTGTGGGCCTTACCTTTTCTGTTTAAACTTTTAAAACTTTTATACCTTTTATTCAACTTACTCATTTAAATAAAACCACAGACATGTAATATTGGCATAATTATTGTAATTTACAACATCTACTTTGTTTATCGTTATTAGACAACACTCTAATATGGGCTTTTATTATTTCAGCATTTGTTTAACTTTGTATCGAGACCTGAGGATGCTTTGCATATTGTAGAAAGCGAAACCGATCGTCTGATAGTTAAATTAAATTGATTGTGAGTAAGTCTTATTTATTATTTCTTTACCTATTTGAAATGGACTCACACAAGCAACACATTCATGATTATTTAATAAATGCTTAAAAGGACAAAATATCCCTGATGATTGGAATATTGGATACATCAGTTAAATATTCAAGAAAAGGGATAAACGCAAATGCTCTAATTATAGGAGAATAACTGTTATCAGCTCAGTGGGGAGGTTGTACGGTCAAATAATAAAAGAAAGAATATAATCAGAATACGAAGACATAGAAGAACAAAATGGATTTCGTGCAGAAAAATAGTTCTGAAACTCATAAACTTCATAAACTCCCATATTTGGAGACCTACAAATATACCCTCTTTAATTTTAGTCTCACTGATCCTGGACCGCCTTTATTCATCCCTAATACAACATTTGTTGTTTATTTTAGTTTGATGTGGAAAGGAGGAAGATACACATAAGTGTTTCAGATATTGTTTTTGTGCACAGTCAACTGCGCACAAGTAGGAGAGGGTGGTTTTAGTTGGTAGGCAGTATAACAGGAAGGCCTCTGTTTGCAGGACCTCTTTCTTCTAAGGGGAAATGGGCTCGGATGTACTCCTCTACACTGAATTTGCTCCGCTATACTGAAAAAACAAATTTGCCTTGATATTTAATATTTTTTAAACCTTTAGCTTTGCTTCTTTATAAGATTATTTTTTCTGACACTGCTATCCTACTTACAAGAAAACAGCAATATTTAGTATATCCTGTTTTATATGTACCACTATATAAAAAATATATTCCCTAAAAATGTTAAAGTTTTATAGAGCACCGCATTCCTGAGTGGGCATAGCTTTCTGTGATCGCGGCTTTGGAGTTATTGAGAAGTTTTTAAGAAAGAAGGACTACGTTTTTATTCCCCAACAATATGCTGATTTTGTTAAACAATCATCCAAACAGTTTATTTCCATTCTGGTTAAACAAAATATGATCCTGAACTTTAGTGGTCACTGTGAAAGACATTTTAAAAAAAGTTATCTCAGATGCAGGAAAGCAAAGATTCTAGATTTCCAAATACCGAATTTTCCAGTACTGCAAAGTCATTTAGATGGTATTAAAGTCAGTATATCGACTGGACTTCCGAGTTTTCACTAATTCCAAATCTTGAGAAACCTTGACAGCGACGTCTCAGTTTCTTCTGATATTCCTGTCTATTGCAATCCTATACTTGTCAAAAAAGCCAAATATGCAGTTATAATGCAGTTTCGATTCGTTGCTATGAACCAAATGTTTTTTTACACCCGTCTTTCAAGTGATGCATCCATGGCAGAGAACCAGAAAACCGAATCATGGAACGGATAATGAAGACCAGGTAAATCAATGAAGAATGTCTTTGCCCGTGTGTTTAATGTTTTATTTATTTTTTCTGAATGCTTTATTTTTTTGATACCAACCTGTTTCTTTTTACAGATTTTTTCGTATTTGAGTAATAGGCAAACCATAGTCGTTTGATTGTTGTAACCTAATAAAAGAGTTTTTGTTCGAAATTTGTTTTGTTTTTCTCAAAAATGATGGTAAAGAAGCATAATTTCACGTGTTTGGTGCAAGAAAGATGCAGGTCCAAGTTTATTTCAATGCTTTTTTCTTATTTTTTCAAAATTTATCTACTTGAAAATAGTCTTGAAAAAGTATTGACTAAATCTGTTTGTCATCGATTGATATTATGTTTTTCGGATTTAGTCCAGACTGTGAGGCCGCTCCCGTTGGGAAAATGTTTCTGATTCGGTTTCTTCGCGGATTCCGGTTCAAAAATGTCCCCTGTAAACAAATCTGAAGGGTGCCGGGCGAAATTTTTGTGCAGAAATTGTTTAAACAATTTTTTTTAAACAAATTCCAAAAATATTTTTTTTTAATCTGTAAAACGTTTTTTAGGTTTTTATGGTCATTTTAAAT